TAGCTTTTATTTCACTATAATCAGAGGTTTCAAAATTCATTAATGGTTACAAAAAATACTAACTCGCGGAACCCTTTTCACTCTTCCACGGAACCCTAGGGTCTCTTGTAACACCATTTGAGAACCGCTGATCTAGATTTACATGAAATATTCAATATCAAAAAATAATTTAGTTTAGATTAGCGATCCTTACAAACAAAACAGAAACTCTACATATTTATAAAACTATAATAGATTAGCTCTCCAAAATAAATAAACATATTTTTTTTTAAAAAAATAAGTTATTTATTTATGTAATGAAATATTTTTATTTTCCGAGTACGAAGTATAAATGAATTAAAAGCTTCGTAATTGTATATTGAGAACACAATAAAATTCCCCCCCCACATAAAAATGTAATAATAACTCGACATAATCACCTAAAACAACGATTTGCTTTCTTTTCCATTCAAAATCTCATTTATTTTAATCAACCGCCGCCGCCCACGATTACGCAAACTTAATCCACTGCGAGTATCTTTTCAGTGTCGGACGAAATTTTCTTACCTTAATTTAAGTAAAGCAAAGTAGACAAGACGACAAGCGAAGCTAAGCGACGTTCTTTAATAAACGTTTAAAATGCTCTAGCCTCAAAATTTTAACTATAGGCTTTTAAATCCTTGTGCTCCCTTTTGGGAAATCTGCCGAATTATCGGGGAAAGATTATCAGCTTGGCAGCTTTCAAAATCTGGGATCTGTCCTCAAACTTTTGCTTTTATTAAAAGAGGCATATCAGAGCATCCCCCACACTCCTCTACTGTAGCTCCTTTCTCTCTTTTAAAATCCGGAAGATCGAGTTGCGGGTAAATCTCTACTAGCCTTTAAACGCTGGTTGGGGGGAGAGGGGATGCCTGTTACGTCAAACCTATATCCTCCCCCTCACTGAGAGCAAAAGAGGAGGGGTGATCAACTAGAGATGCTCTGTCTCCATCGTTGCTGGACTCCTACTACACGATGCTCAAGCGTCGACAACTTTCACCTTATGGTTGCTTCGGAGGAGACGGATAAAACCGCCAAGAAGATGAGCCAGTATTCGCCAAATAGTTTATTATTTATATTACAGGCTATGTTTATTTTTCGTACCTATTCATGTATGTTGTTTTCAAAGAAGTTTCCATTCAAATAATTATTATAGATATTATTTTTTTAATTTTTTTTAATATGGTTATATGAAGGGAAAAAATAGTGAATAGTAATTAACTAAACAATTATTATTTAAAATAATAAGTATTCTAAAGAATACCTAATAATTGAAGTATACGGGATGAACAATGATAAGCCATATTTTCCAAATAGTCTAAGACAGCAGCTTTGGCAACAACAAAAAAAAAAAAGATTTTCATATAGTCACAGAGATGTTTCTGTGTATTGTGTTGTTAGTTAGTGAGAATTCCGTTGACTTGTAAAATATTGACCTAAAAACAATACTACTGAACAGTATGATGTCAAAATTCCACCTTTGGAAGAAAAAAAAACGTGGCTTATCACTATTTTGCCCCAAGTTCTTCAGTAGAATACATCAAATATGCATTTTAAAAAGCTGAAATTGATATGTATAACATATGCTAAGATGTATAACATTTCAAAAAATGAAGTATTGCGTAGCTGTCTAATCTTTTGTAAGTAAGTTCTTGTTTAAATTACTTAAAGTTAAAAAAGAAACCAAGCAATGTTTCCCAATACATGCCTTATAACTTACTAACTGAAACATCATAACAAATAAAACAATTAATGGAATCAACAAGTTTAACGATAAAATAACTCTACCAAGAAAATACCCCCAGTTCATCAAAAAAATAGCTCTGGTATTAAAGGTGTGCATATTAATAGTTTGCTTAGAATTATTTTTTGCCTTCAATTTTTCTTTACTTGTAACCTTGATTTTTGATCAAAGACATATATTTATTTAAAATTAGTTTTTCTTCTCTTTATTTTTAATTAAACTATGATTTTAGATAAAGGGCACTTCTGTATTTAATATTAATCTTTTTCTTCACTTTATTCCTAATTAATTTTCATTATTAACTAAATTTTTTACACTAATAACAGTGGTTTTTAATCCAAATCACAACTTAATTTTTAATATAGTGAATGAGAAGAAAAAAGAACAATTAAATAATAATATCATTTTTAGTTAATCCCTTTTTTAAGAGTTTGAAAAATAAATATTGCATAAATTTGAGAACGAAATTTTTGCCCTGTTATCATGTAACGTAAAAGGATATTTAGATAAATATATATATATATATATAAGATATAAATATATATATAAGACATAAATATATATAAGATATAAATATATATAAGATATAAATATATATATAAGATATACATATATATATAAGATATCGATTTATATATGAATTTCCCATACCCAAAACAATTTTTTGAAATCTTAACAAAAGAAACAAAATTCATTTGATTCTTTTGTTAAGATTTACTTCTCTAATTTTTTTTAAAAAAGTTACATATTTCTTTTACAATTTCAAAATTGTTATGTATTTCCTTTAAACATTTGTTGTATTTATAAATTTTATTTCGAAGGTGTTCTTTGTTAAACTAGTTCGGTAAAATAGAAAATTCGTTATTCATATCAAATTGTTGCTACAATATCAAATGATGGTGATCTGGATTTAAAAACAATCTTCCCTTTCACGTTAAAAAAATATTTTATTAAAGTTGATAAAACTGAACCAGCTAAATAATTCTCCATTTTTGTTTAAATTAAAAATGCGTTAAGATTGTAATGTGCTTAAGAGAGTTTTCTATAAAGGAGATCATGGGCCGTAGCACTTCTAAAGTTCATGTTGTGATTATGAAAGCTATCTATGGAAATAAGAATAGCATTGTAATGCATTCTTTCAAGAAAAATATGAAGTTATGTTTGTAAATAGCGATAAATAGCCAATTGTGGCGGCAGATTTCCAAAACACCATCCCAATCTTCATCATTCGTTCCTTCTTAGGGACGAGGATAGGAAAGATGCTTGCAGAAACACAACACAACCGTTGACTGGTCCTCTAATCCATCATGATTATCTGGTCCGCATGATTGATTAATGCAATACGAGGACAGCTTAACCGTGAGACGCAGTTCGCTCCCCATCCTCTCTTAAAACTCTTTCTAAACGAACAACAGATCGCCCTCCTCATCAAAGAGAGGTAGTTGATGCGATACTGAAGTTTTATTTCGGGCACATCTATAGAACAGGCGACAAAGTACACCATCTCATCTCATAGGGGAGACTGCCACCCTATGTATAATTAATGCTTTTAAAGTGGTCAAGTGTCAAATGGTTGCTGTTTTATTTTAAAAATTCGCGATGGATGACGGGAAGATTGACTTAATTGTTTATTAAATGAGATCGGAAGTATCTCCTTTGACGCGAACCCACACATGGGTATTCTTCAATATAAAAATATTCAAATAAGTCTGATTATGCGTTCAAAGGAGTTTGGTGGCCATTTTTGTTGTTTTAGTCTTGAATAGACAAATAGGGTATTCTGAAAGCATACATCTGACAAACATGAATGTTACGAGTTGAGTTCCGAGATACTAAAAACATTAAGTATCTATTAAAGAATATAATTTGAAAATTTCGAACTTGACATTCTCATAAACTTTGAAATGACATGCTAGTTCATGAAAGCAGTTCATTAAAGCGTATCTTGAAATCTAATCTATCTATTATGAACTAATCAAAAGATAAATTTGTGAAGTCTTATAACTAAGGCAACAGTAGATCTTAAAAATGAAATTTTTTTTCATTAATGTCCTATATTTTGTTGATCATTCTAGTGCGTTTTACTGTTGTCTGTATGATTTATGGATTGATTTCTCAAAAAAGCCACAAAGATAGATTTTATTTCATGCATAACTACAAAAACATGCTGTTTTTTTATTAATTCTTTTGTATGTGTCAGCTATAAATATGCGAAATTAATATGCATATAAAAATTAATCTTATACAAGAAGTTTTGAACTGACATTTAAACACCAAATTAAAGTCCTTAATAATAATTATCGTCATTCCAAGGATTCTACGTTACATATTTTAATTTTTAAAATATAAATCCTTTAACGAGTTAAAAAGAGATCTTGTGTTCAGAGTATCACAAATGATAATTTAAATGGCTTAAAAAAATGAAGTAAAGAATAAAAGAATTTCAAAGTTTAAAGAGATAACAATGATCAGAATCACACATTGCAAATTTTAAATAAAATCTTGCATTTGAATGAAATCAAAAGGCAATCATATTACTTTTTAAATCATTTAAGCAGAATCATTTGAAAAGAACAAAGACTTCAGTTTTATTTAATATGCATAAAAAACACATTATTTAAATGTGTTAAAGTATTTAATTGTAAAAAAATGTATTAAAAGAATTAAGAGGTTAGAAATTTATTTCTGAGCAAGTAAGAAGAATAGAAATGATACTTTAGAAACATTTTATATGCATAAAAGCACACATTAAAAGGTTTTAAAGAAGAAAAGGAATAGATGTGATAAAATAGATAAAAACAAAGAATAGAACAGAGACTTTAGCATCATTTTATGCGTATAGAAAACGCGTTATTTAAAAGTTTGTAAGAACAGCAAAATAAAGAGGTTAGAAAAACATTTCCGATCAAGTAAGAAGAATAGAACAGTGATTTTAGCATTATTATTAAATACACAAAAGAAAAATACTCTAAAGCTTATAAATAAAAAGAAAATAGAGAAGATAGAAACACATTTCTGAGCAAGTAAAGAAAAGGAGAAAAAAAAAGGCTGAAATGATACTTTTGCATAAAAATAAGAGAAAAAATTTCAGAGTTTTCGTAAAACGTTTGAAAATGCAATGATGAAAATGTTTTTGAATAATTTTCGGTCTTATACATTTATATCTATTACTATTTGATTGCAAACTCATAAAACCAGAGAAATAAAATGCTATAAAAAATAAATAGGATCTCCTTACCTGTTATATGACCATTTTCATAGGAGTGGTAATCGCTATCTAGCCTAGATTTCTTCACCATTCCTGTAGTAGTCACCCCAGATGTCATGCTCACCATAGACACTCTTTTGGGGGGTCGGCCAGGCCTTGAGCTACTTAAATAGGAAAAGAAAGAAAATGAGCAAATGATTTCTCTCATAAATTAGAAAAATAATAAAAACAGTAATTAATACATTAATAGTGATTTTAAGCCAATTTAAATAAATAAAATTGATAAAAAGTATAAATGAATAACATTTTCAGTACAATTATTGTTAAAATCAAGCCAGCATTATCACATATACTCGGGCTTTCTTCTAAATATAAATTTTCAATTTCTTCATTTTTACAACCTATTACTTTAAGAATAAATTTTCGAGCCTATATTTTCATTTTATTTTACTGTATTACATTTTTTATTTAAACCTAAAAATGCATTTTCCATTAAATCTGTATGCTAGTTCATACGGACTGAGGTCTACTTTTCCTTGTCTTCATTTTTAATAATTTATTACACTTGTAACTGTGTTATGTATAATGAAGAAAATTTTTAATATGATTAAAATTAAATAAACTATCAACGCAGTTAAGTTTTTTGCAAATAGTGTCAGGCATATTTGTAATTTTTTTAAATTTTTATTTTGCATTTTGTGCATCATTATATAACCAGTGTGACGATACTCTTAAATAAAACATTCAGTTAAAATTTTTTTAACTTAAAATGATTTTGGATAGCATTTACGCTATCCTAAGAAATGTTGGAATTCTGTATAAAATAGATAAATGTTCGCTACAAGTTTTCTTTATCAGATATCTAGCGGAGTGTTAATGTTATCTATAGGGGTAATTCTTAGTCTGGGTTGCTAGATATGTATTGGTGGTATTAAAAAAAAACAGAACGAAATGAATATGAAAAAGCTATTTGGTTGAACCGTACGCCAGAAATTGTACAAACAAATAGTAATTCTGCCAATATCATCAAACCATCCTTCTTCCACTGGTGGATGTTGGCAATCACATAGTCGCTTTGGAAAATGTCCGAAATATACTCGTATACTAGGTTTAGTTGAGTGCCACTGTCTGCCTGTATACATTTGCCCGGAATGCCTTACATCAATGTTTTCTTAAGGTCAAGTGCCACTGCCCAGTATGCATTTAACCGGTGCTCCGAACATAATCTATCCTCAGCAGATAAAATATAGATTAAAATATCGAATATAGTTTATAATATCAACGAATAAATTATAATCAAATCAGATATAACAAATATTTCGGACATTCATCTGTGAAAGTTTACATACTCTTGATTTCGCTCATTCATGGTTATATATAATTTATATTAATGTACCCTTCGGAGGTGTAAAATGTCAGAAAACTAAATCTGTTTATCTTTTTGGCTGTGTAAAGTATTTTATAAAACCAATTGATTCATAATATTTTTGATACTTACTCAAGATTTGAGTTCAAATAATAATATGCGTATGTTTATAATAGATATGAAGAGGTAAATTTGTATTTAAAAAAAGCAGGAGTCGTTAGTTTTTTGAGCTAATGTTTACGATCATATTATTATGTGTTCATCTTTGACATCCATATTTAAATGAAACTTCAAAACAGAATAAATATTCCAACAAATCAACTATTACAAATCCATTGCATACACTATATTTTTGCAATAAAACTGATGTTTCTTTTCTCTTCCGTCACAAGGGCCAAACCTGTTACAAATTCACATATGAGAATGGGGTGAATACATGATTTCCGTGCGAGGTGTTTATTTAAAAGGAAATGGGGGGGAGGAAATTCGGCAATTTTTTGGCAGATATTTTTCCCGTAAATTTTAAAGTAGGTATGAGATTACACTTTCATGCTTTTATGCATTTAAAAAAAGGAAGAAAGAGTATGACAAAAAGGTTTCATATAAAATAGATTGGAAAAGGGTCTTTCTATACAACCATTCATCTGGAAGGTTTGATTTTGAAAAATCGGAATCTAAACGAAAAACCCATTTCCATTCTGAATATAAAAATAGACCATCCATATAATATTTAAAAGTTCTCTTTTTTTGTAAATATCTAAATATTTTAAATTTTTTGAAAAAACGATGTATTAATGTTACCAGTTTTACTAAAAATAAGCGAATTTTAATGTTTTTTTTTTACATTGAATCATTGAAGACATTTAACTATCGATTTTAAATGATCATTAGGTATTTATTATTTTTTTAAGCTTAGCTTTATGATGAATTAGGTTTAAAAATCCTATTTACAGTAACTTATATACATAAACTGAACTTAATCAAGCATTTTATGTTGAACAAAATATTAATAATACGTTTATAAATTACACTGGATATACCAGCTATTACAGAATATCCCAATGGTTTCCCAGAGTGTCCCGGTGACGTTTTTCCAATAAAACTGAAAAACTTGAGTTTTGCCCTTTTTTTTTTTTTAATTTAGACAACAAATGTTAAAGGCTGTTGCTCCGTAGTAATATGAAATGATACCTTTTTGCGAATAATATGCTACATTTATAACTGCTGTGAGTTTGCAACTGTCACTCATGATTCTTAGGTCAAGTTTAGTTTATCTACTGCCAGCGCTGTCTAAGATTATTTTGAAAATGTCACTAAACTCCAGTATGGAGGAAAGCCACAGTTTTGTGAAAATGAAAAGTTTTTGTGGTCTAATTTTTGAATGTTTAAAAGTTTACTCCAATGATGCATTACCTGGGCTCACAAAAATCAGCAAAAACTGAAAATACGATATTTTGATGATTTTCAACTACATGGAAAAATTTCACCAAATTGACGACTTTTAAAAAAGTTCAATAACTTTTGAAATATTTTGTTTGTTCTAATGCCCAGATAATTCTTCACGGCCAAATTATATATATAGTTTAAAATCATTGCATTGCTTCAAGTGTAAGACACTTAAAATATGGTTTTTCTATTTTCCTTGGCGACAGAGCTTCCTAAAACAGCGTTAAAATAAATAGAAGCTTGTATTAGAATGCCAAAAGGAATACCGCCAAAAGGAAGAGAAAAATCTCCAAAAAGAGAGCGAGTCTTGAATCAACATGGCCATATATAAAATATTTTATTTATTTTATTTATTTATTTTCGAAAGTTACATAGGCGTCTCATAGACGCCATAAAACTTCAAAATACGTCACTGCTGGGTATCATGAAACTAAGATTAACTTTATAAACTGATCGTTCGTATAACAGAATATAGACAATTTAGCGTTTTTTAAAGTCTTGATTGAAATCATCTATTTATAGTACTTTAGCATCTTCCTAAGTGGAAAAATATAAATAATATTTTTTTTTTATATTTGTATAAATTATTGTTTAAAATAAATATAAAGATATACAAGTTTTAAATTTGTGGTAAATAAAATAAATGCTTAATTACGCTAAGTATAACATTTGCTTATCTACTGTTTAGTTAATACCTTTAGCAATATTTATTATATATTACTTTTAAACATTATTTTTCAAACGAAAGAAACTTTAAATAAAATGCATCTATTCATATAATTAATAAATCAAAACAAAAATAAATGTATACTGTTTTTTTCTCTTTAAATATATCTTGTCATTATTTAAAACATGGACAAGCAGCGACGAAATTTGATAGAACTCTCCAATACAAATAATGAATAGCCTCTATCAAAAGAAATGTTGACCTTACTTAAATCTTGGGTTATACAAGCAGATGAAAAAAAAAAGTTAAATTTCTATTGCATTCACGAAAACCTATCAACTTGTTCATCACGAACAAACAGTCATGTTTCCATTACAAAAGAAAACTCTGACCTGAAAAGGTCTTGTGTTAATCGGACTGGAGATTGTCTTACTTTTCTTTTCTTCTTTGAACATTTTGTCATTTAGATTTCGATACCGGCAACGAGGGAGGGTAAATATGCTGAAAATATTTTGCTTATAAGTTCATACAAGAAGCTTATAAATATGATTCTTCGTGAAACACTTCAGTTGCTATATGTAGCTTTACAAATACTTTTACTGTATTTACAACATAACAATTAAAAAATGTAAAATACAAATATTTAAAAGAAATCTTATTTAATTTAAAGAGATATCACGATTTATCATGACCTTTTTACACCCAAGTGTCGATACTTTTTATCGTAATTTAAACCTATATTTGTCTCCGTGAAGCAAAAAGCATTTTAATCGTAAAATTAGTGTTTTATTTCAAAGAGAATATGAATGTTTCTGTATTAAGACAAATATTTTGCTATACATTTTGTTTTTTATAGAAGAATACTATAAAATCACAAAAAATAAGATTCAAAATATAGTATTTTATAAGTTAAGCTAAAAGCAAAGTCTTGTATTTTACGGGAACAGATTAAACGTAAAGTAACAAAACTCTTTCCATAACACTGATTGAATCGGAAGAAAATGTAAACCTACGACAGCTGGCCTGCTCCACTTCACATGGTGGGAGTTCAATTAGCTATATAATAGTAATAATGCCTCCGCCGAATAGAATGTTTGGGTTTTATTTCCTAAAACAAAATATATTTCCTTAAAGGGTTGCATTACTTTTTTGTAGTCCTCATTTCATTCCAATCTTTTCTCCGGAATAGCTGGGCACCAAAGATAAAAGTCTCCCGAAATCTCAGCAGCAAGTTGACGTACAACCCAACTCCATTTCCGTTTTTAACGATTCTGGATCGTTTGGCATTTAATTGGCCCGGATGTGTTCGATTTGATTGTTTTTTCTCCAAAACAGCCCAAGACTTCACGACTCTTTTACTACCCAGTAGAGCCGGGAGTAAATTAAAGAAAAGCAAAACACAAAAAAGGATCTTTTTCAGAGGCAGGCAACCCTCGTAATTGTAACAGATCTCATGAAAGGCGAACGGAATGAATCACTGTAGCTACCACCCCTTAGAAGAAGGAACATTTCTGGGGGGTTTGGAGTCTTTGGAATCGAATGGCGTTGTCGAGAGTGCCTTTAGCTCCTTCTGTTTCGTAATAAAGCAAGTTTTACGTTCCCGCTTGCCCGGGCATCGAGGGGCGTAAAATCATCGTAAAACAACGCACTTTTAACCTTAATAAACCTGGCCGGCCAAATAAAGA